CTTACACACACACACACACACACACACACACACACACACACACACACACACACACATACACACACGAACGCACAGACACTGAAAAAGTAAGTGTGTATGGGTTTAACACACCTGTCAAGACTATTGGTTATTCAAGAGGCAGGACCTTGAATTGAACGTTCGTCTCCGAAAGGGCCCTTCCAAATGAGTTGAAATCTTGCAAGCTCCACAAAGTGTCCCGAGATCAAGAACGCCCGGTCCGGGATTCGAACCAGGGTCATCCGCTCCGTAGTCCACGTCCCCGTGGTTTTATGCAAACAAAAAAATTAATAATTCTGAAATTATGCAAATTGAGCCCAAAAATGTGAAATTATGCGATTTTGTTAATTTTAGCAAAGAATGACAAAGCAAAATAATCAGAAATTATGCCTTAAAGGATCAAAATTTGCTAAATTATGCGGGGTGCATAAAGCCACGGGGACCGGTAGTCCAGCGTGATACCAACTGAACTAACGGAGCGAGCTTACTGTCTCTAGATGGACATACAGAACATACGTCTGTAAAACTGCAAGAACAACGAACATGTGACTGCTCTGAGCAGCAATAATACTATTGTTTACCGCACCTGAGAGAAAAATGGCAACATTTTAACTTTTCTTTGCCTTCCCTTTTCACGTGGAGTAGGAAAAGAAACAAGCTGTTTCCGTCTTGAAAGTTCATATGTGAGGCAGCACGCAGCGCGGTGGAATCAGGCTCTCGTCAATTTTTGAGCATGTAGAGTTATTGATATCATCTTAAAGCTTGTTCACTTGTCTTTATTTGGAGGAAAAAAATATCCATTTATCTTGAATACGAGTCCAGATATTTGTGAATGAAGGAGGTGGGGGTCACCTGTTTTCAGAGGTAAAATGAGTGAGAAAATGGCCCCAAAGATTAGTTATTTCCTTAGGCTAAGAGTCCGTGGTAACTGAAAAATATATTTTTTTGGTGTCTTTAATCAACGTTTTAAAGAAAATTCCACACAGAAATGAGTTCTTTAATGGGCATGAAAGGTGTTAAGCCAAAAACAAAATTTTAGTAAAAATTTACGAACCTGCAGAAAAATGTCAGTTTCTTCACTTTGATTAATTTGACGAGAGCCTGATTCCACCACGCTGCCTCACATATTTTAATTTAGTTGTTCTGTTTTTTTACGCCTCCATCGACACAATGAGATAATTTAGGAGACGGTCTTCGACCATGCCTGTCCGGGCCAACCCGGGCTAAGAGTGATTCAACATCCCAGCAAGAAGATCGACGAGATATACCAGATACCATAAAAGTTCTCCCCTTTTGGGAATCGAACTCGGGTCTCCTGCGTGCGATGAAGAGGCGCTTAACCGCTACACAACAAAAGCCGGATTTGTTTTTCGAGAAAACTACAAATGGTGAAACAAAAGTGGGGGTGGGGTGGGGGAGGGGGGCTCTCGTGGCCTAGTGGTTAACACCTTGCCATCATATTTGGGGAAAATCCAAAGAAACTGGGTGGTAAACATCGCCAATCTGCGAGGTGAGGTGAGAAATGTTCGCCTCTAATTCAATAGGTCCCAGGCTCGAATCCGGATAGCGACGGAAATTTTTCTTATCGAAAATTGTCTCTTTCCACTCCCTTTAATGTACTAGCAAAGTTCTGTCACCTGCTTTGGTCTCCACTTTTTGCCCCCACCCCCTCACCTCCTTTGCCCCCTCCTCTGGGCTCCTGACTCTTTCTGCCCCCACCCCCTCACCTCCATTGCCCCCTCCTCTGGGCTCCTGACTCTTTCTGCAGCTTTTCTGCTGCTACTACTTGGCTCCTTCTTACTGCTGTCTTTCAGCCACATCCCTGATCGTATTGTAGGACAAATCTACATCTAGCCTGCTCGGACAAGGACGAAATCTCGGAGGTACCGTGTGCAAGTTGTACACGTTTAAGATCCCTTGGTAGTCCAAAATCTATAAGAGCAGGCTTCGGCCGCCACCCGGGCAAATCAAAATTTCCTACCAACTGAAAATGTTTTATGTGTCCCGCGCGCTCACGTGATCGTATGCAGTTGCGAGCGCCGTAAAACCCCTCTCAAAAAAAAAAAAAGGTGAAGAGGATTTCACCGCAATACTCTTCGATAAATCACAAGTCTTAGTGCAAGATGCAATCTTCTAGTCTGAGATCTGCGATCAGCGTAACCCTCCAACCGTAGTGGCGCTTGTGACCTATGTCGCAATCATGCGTTCTACTCTCTCTCTCTCTCTCTCTCTCTCTCTCTCTCTCTCTCTCTCTGTCTGTCTCTCTCTCTCTCTCTCTCTCTCACACAT